CCAATCGGGTTATTTGAAATGAATTCTTGGGAATCCACTTCATTCTACCTCTAGGAATAACATACTTCTTAATTCTACAATATTTCACAGAATGACCTTTTTTCATGCAGTAAAAACATTTAATCACAGATGATGAGTATGATTTCCTATTTGTTTTTCTGAATTTCTTGTTAGATGTAAATCCAATGCCAGATTTGTCAAAGATAAGTTTTTGTGACCCAAGAAGAACATCAAGATTAGCTTGTCCTTGTGTAAACTTTGAAACAGTTTGTGATAAAAAATCAATCTTATTTTGTAATTCTGAACAATTATTACATGGTTTATTGCATACACAATCAGAATTATCATGGATTAATTTTAAAAAATCAAGATCAGTTTCATCTTCAAGAATTTTCTTTTCAAGAGAATCTACTTTATTTACTAACCAATTATTCAATCCTTTTAGCCTATCATTTTCTTTTTGCAGTTTCTTAGTTTCTTCATGCATTTCATTAAATGCTTCTTGTAATGAATTATAATTCACCAAATTTGAAGAAGAGTTAGAACTTACACTGCTGGTTTGATGATTTTGATTTGCCATTAGACACAAGTTAGCTTCTTCATTATCAGAATTCTCTGTTGATGAAGTATCATTATCATCCCATGCTACATATGCTCTTCTTTTGACTTTTTCTTCTTTCTTATCATTGTATTTGTTCTTTTCTGGGCACTCCATTCTTACATGACCCTGCTTACCACAACCATAGCATTTATAGTTAAAAGAATCAGATTTTTTCTCATACCTTTTATGTTTTTCTTTATCTTGAATCGTTTTCTTGAGAAACTTGTTGAACTTTCTGACAAGCAGTCCAAGATTTTCACTTTCCTCCTCAAATTCTTGAATTCTTTCTTCAACCTTGAGTGCTATACTTCTACCTTTTTTCTCAGAGACTTCTTGCTCATTGAATCTGTTAATTTCCATTTCATGTTCTCTGAGTTTGCCAAACAAGGAGGTTGTTGTCATGACTGATAGATCTTTTGATTCTGAAATAGCTGTGACCTTGGGCTGCCATGACCTGTCAAGACATTTCAAGACTTTAATATTTAATTCTTCTTTATCAAAAGTTTTACCTAAGCCCATTAGATGATTGATGATATGAGTGAAGCGCTTCTGCACATCTGCAATACTTTCTCCAGTTTGCATTTTGAACAGCTCATATTCTCTTATGAGAGTATGTTTTCTGGCTCTTTTTACATCAGTTGTTCCCTCATGAGTAACCTCAAGAACTTCCCACACTTCCTTGGCAGATTTGCATTGGGAGACCCTGAAAAACTCATCCATATTTAGTGCAGAAATAATTATGTTTTTAGCAGTACAATCACTTTGAACTTTTTTCTTTTCTTCATCATTTAAACTAGACCATTCTTTTTCTGTAATTAAAGGACCATTAGCAATTACATCCCAAACATTTTTATCAATAGATTCAATAAAGATCTTTATCCTAATCTTCCAAAATGGATAATATGTTCCACAAAACAATGGAGGTCTATTAGTAGAAGCTCCCTCAGAAAAAGGTAATTTGTTTTCAACCATTAAAGATTTGGACCGAAAGCCTTGAATAACTCTCAAGAACCTTGCTCTGATACCAATTGTTATAAATGTAGGTTGAGATCAAGAGGGGGGGGGTGAATTGATCTTTGAAAGATTTTCGCAAATTACAGATTATCTATTTCAAAGATTAAGATTTCAGACCAGTTCTTGAATCACACACAGCAAGCAAAAAATAAATGTAGTGACAGAATTAAAGAAGAGAAAGGTTTAGAAAGATACAATCAAGGTTTATACTGGTTCACCCAATCCCAGGGCTACGTCCAGTCTCCAGCCAAATTCCAGCTGGGTTCCATTAGATTGAACGTTTTACAGATTACAACTTTAATCTCACACTCAATCTACCACAAGAACCACAATTCCAGTTCATGCACCTAAACCTTCACCAAGAACCAAATTCCAGTTCTTGACCAACCCTGCAGCCAAATTCCAGCTACAGAAACCAGTGTCCACAATTCCAGGCACCCACAATATAGTAAAGAAAGTAAAGAAATAAATAGAAGAAACTTAGAACGCTCAAACCAAATTTATGCAGCTCTGCAGTATGTGTTTCTTCTCCAAAAGAATGCAATTTTGCCTCAAGAAAGAATTCTTATTAACTTCACAAAAACTAGCGCGAATCTCTCTTGAAAGTAGCATTTTTGATTGCTAAAAGATGTATGTTAAAAGGTTCAAGCAATTTTGTTTATATAGAAGATTTTCAAAACTGCTGGTTTATTTAATCTGTTAAAATAATATTTTAATCTGTTAAAAGTCTTGTTTTTATCTGTTAAAACTTCTTTTAATCTATTAAAACATTCTTGATTATTTTTCAGATTTGTTTTAACTGATACGATACCGTTTATATCAATTAAAACTCTTTGTAAAAAATCTTCCAAACTGTTTTAATCGATTGTTTCGTCTTTCAATCGATTAAAATACTGCAAAACATTCTTATAAACTTTTCTAAGTGATAACAATCTATTTTAATCGATTAAAACACTTTGAAAAAAGTTCACTTAGTTATTTTAATCGATTGAAACACATTTTAATCGATTATAATTCTGCCAAAAGATTTCATAAAACTTTCTAAGTTATTTTAACTGATAAAACCTTGTTTTAATCGATTGAAACATTCTGGAAAAAACCTCTTAGTTGTTTTAATCGATTATTTCGCATTTGTATCGATTAAAATTCTGACAGAACAACTTTCAAAACACTTCAAGTTATTTCAATCGATTATTTCGAGTTTGCATCGATTAAAATTCTGCCAGAACACTTTTCAAAATATTCTAAGTTATTTTAATCGATTATTTCAATTCTATATCGGTTAAAATACTTGGTGAAGGTTTTCAAAAATCCTTCTAATGAAAACAATCGATTATTTCGAAAACATATCGAGTTAAAAACCTGTTGTAAAAATGTTAAGAACATTTTAGTTGATAAAGCTTATATACTATTAGTTAAAATAGTTACTTAAAAACCTTTTATCAAAATACTTTGCTTTTAACCGTTTAAACATTTTTTAGAGGCAATTGCAAAATCTTTTAAATGAAGAAACCTCATGCAACAGAGAGATAAAAATGATTATACCTAAGCAGAGATGCAGACTCACTAATCTCACTACTCTTTTATCTAAGTGACCTTTGACTGCCACAAAGTAGTCTTTGACTTCATCAAATCAACAAGATCTTTGCCAAAGTAATTCAATAAGATCTTCATCACTTTCAGTAATATCCTCTTCTATGGTCTTAATAACTTTCATAATCCCTTTTGTTATTTATTCAGACTTATTAGGTTAATTTCCCATATTGTATTAACTCTTTAATGATGTCTTCTAAATTCGAGTAGTCTTTTATGTTGCGACCATTTTTTATGATAAGTACATCTTTTCATCCAATTTTCATTTGGTGTCGTAAAGTCTCATTGAGGTAAGGTCATTAGCTTCAAATTACATATTTTTCACAAGATGGCCTCATAAGATGTGTTCAGTGGTATGTAGTTGTTGTAAGAAACTATTCACATCTAATTATAATGACTTTTATTGACCACTAATCGAGTTCTTCTTCTCTTCTTCTCTTCTTCTCTTCTTCGTTGGAGTTTGATGCTTTCTTTGAATGGATATAGTTCAAGGCTTATGTTTTTAACTCATCCATGTCTTTTAGTCTGTTGAAATATAAATTGTCTAAAAATAATTCATAGTTCGAGACTCACGGTGACACTAAATATTATTATAAAAAATTAAATTAAATTAAATTAAAATACTCATACTAATCCATCTTGATAAGAGATAATTTAGTTTGAACTCTCTAAAAGGAAAAATAAAGAAAATATACCTACAAACACATTATTTAAATCAATATATGAATTTCAGTTATATTTTAATATATAATAAAATGATACAGTTTATAAATTTCTCACTAATAGTATCAGATGATACTTATTAATACTGATTTATTTGTTTATTTAATATGATATCGAATAAGAATATTTTTATATATTATTATTATTTATTATTATTTAATATAATTATCTTAAGAGAATATTTCATTCATATAATAATCTCGAACTAATGCGTAAAACAAGTTTCCGTAACTAATCTATTTATAACTAATTTATTTAAGATACTGTTTATTACTTTGTAATTTCCATTATTTTAAGTTTACGAAGATGTATTCTAACGTCTCTTAATTTTAATAATAATAATAATAACAATAATAATAATAATAATAATAATAATAATAATAATAATAATAATAATAATAATAATAATAGGAGGAGGAAGACGGAGAAGAAGAAAAAAATTTGATAATTAAAAAAATACGTATATAACTTCATTAATTTATTTTTTTTACTTCCTAATAATTTTTTAGAAGAATATAATGTGTTTAAAAACACAATCTTTTTATAATTTTTTGTAATTAAAAGTAACGTTGTTTGAAAAACAACTTCTTCATAGTAATCTCAATCTTTTAAAGATATTTTTCAATTTTCGTAATTTTTTAAATATACCTAATTTTTTAAATAAAAGATTAATATATGTATAATATTATCTTCTTCGTACAAATTTACTATTTTTTTAAACTATATTTGTCATGACACGTTATTATAACTACATTTTCAAACCATGTATTATTTAAAAAAAAATGAAGAATAAATCATAGGAACCAGAAGTAAGTTTAATTTATATTTTTACTATTAAAACTGATTATAAAATAGAAAAGTTCTTATATACGATGGGAGTTACAGAATTTATTAATTTAAAATAGATTTTAACCAATAATAAAGTAAAAATACATTTTTAACCAAAATTCCCATCTCGAGGGTTGTTTTGTTGGATGCGTAAGTTGTATCACCACCTATCTCAGCTTTTCCCTTGCTTCCCAGAGCTCTGAACTTGACCGACGACGTTTCACATCAAACGCTTAAAAGAATGGCGTTCTTGTTGAACAAAACAACCATTGCTTCCCATTTTCGATCTCACTCCCAGGTATTCCTATGCTTTTTTTTTTATAACATATCGAATCATTATTTATTTTTTTCAATTTTATATAACGTTTCGGTTTTATTTTTTCTTATACTGAAAATCCCTTTTGAGAAATCAGAAAACTGAAGATTCCGCTTCTTTTCCACGACGTCGATACCACGTTGAACCTGGGCCACGTGAGAAAGCTGTAAGGCTTAAGTTCTTTTATTATTAGATTTGTTATTGTGTTTCACCATTCAAGTAATTTCGTGCAACTAGATCACCAAAGAAGCCTAATTCACGAAGTTAGTCAATGAATGGATGGTGTTCCTTTGATAGATTTGTTTTGTTAACAAATATTGATATTCGGGATTAGGCAAATTTCTGAAATGTGATTTTGGTCCTGTCTCCACGAATGTGCCTTTCAACTTCAGTGTTGCAATGAATAGGTAGAGCAATTGCTACTTGTAATATCGTTGGAAGAAATAAAATATGGTATTTGTATTTTTTTTAAATGTTATCGTTTTGAACTTTTGCGAATTCGTAACATACTCATTGGTTTTGACACGTTTGTACTGCTTAGCAGACATATATTTTGTGATTTCTTTTGTTTGTTGTGCATGCACTTTTACTGCTTGGATTTTGTTGCAGCTCTTAGCAGAAGATTCAGCTCTGAAACCATTCAAATCTTATAAGAAGAATGTAAAACAGCTCAAGAAAATTGGGGATGTTCTGACAGTTGTTGTTGTTGCAGGTATGTTGTCTTTCAACTCTGATTTGATTAAAGGAGTGAGTGAGGGTTTGTTTATGTTGTTATGAGTTTTGAATGGAAGTTGAAAGACTTTGATGTGAAAAAATGAATCTGTGAGGAGAACTTTATTATCTTTTTAGGACCGCTTGTTAAAGAGCTAAAAGATCTTATGCTTGTTTGAGCTGGACTTTGTTTTGACAGTTTATGTGCTTGTGAAGGAGGCCAGAATCTTAAGTCTGATAGTTGCTAAATCATTTGAACGGGCCTCAACATTTTTCTTTGAATGTTGTGTTTGTTTCATTTCAAATTCGTTGGCCTTACTCTTATTCATACATCATTTTAAGTGTTAAGTCTATCATTGTAGTCTAAATAAACTAACTTGGAAAACCATAATAATTTTGAGCAAAACTTAGGTCATGGTTTTTATATTCTTTCTGTTAAGTTCTCAAAGCAGGAAACGACATGTGAATGTTTTTTCCCAACTTCTATAGCTTCTGTTGATTCTAAGTTACACAATTTTAGAAAAATAATCCATGTAATTGCTTACAGTGAGAATTTGATCTAAGTTTTGTCTGATGAGATATTGTAAAGTGTTTTTATGATATAATCTTACCTAGTTGTTTGTGGAGGGCGTGTGTGATTTGAAGTGGTCTTGGTGGTGTTTTCCAAACTAAACTAACCAGCTAAATGCATATAAGAGAGTCTTTTCTTGGTAAGCTTCAAAGGAAAAATAAATTGTGCAAATCTGTATTTGAAGTTTGTTTCTGAGGTCAAACTTATGAACAACTTAGTTGGAAATGATCTGAGCCAGATTTATATTTTGGCTGAGGCAAACCCTTGGGATTTGGAAATACAGTAAGCCTCATTACCTTTGCAGTTTGATTACTCAAACATTATTACTTCACAATTAAATTTGGATTACTGAAAATATATTACGAAAGTACATTATGCAGAAATTTCTGAAATAACAACATTGGAAAAAAGCACGTGGTACACTTTAATCCTTTGAGTGTGTAGCTTTTGGTTTATGGATGTTGTCATTGTTACAGGGCTTGTTTGTGATAGAGCGAATAGGGCATATTTCCTCCTGAGTATATTCTTGTACATTTTCTGTTTCTATGCAGATCATTTCCTCAAATGTTAAGCATCTATCGCACTGAGCAATATGGTTATTTGCATAGTTGTTTGAAGGTCTATTTATATAATCACTTTCAACTGTGAAAGAATATGCTAGTATCTGCAATCCGTTAAGATGTTTTAGATTTTTGTAAAAATGTTTTCGCTTGATGAAATCTTGATTTCACAATTGTTTCTTTTCATGGACCGCTTTTACTTTGTTTTGGCATTTTTCACAACTAGGAACATGTGTGAATAATATCATGACAGCACTCATTAATTGACGAATCTTCACATGCTAAATATTCTGCATTACCTATCGATGTATTTGAATATATGCTAGTTTTTAGTATGTTACTTGTCTTGAAACAATCATATTAATTTCTCTTCCTGTTCCATATTTTCAATGTTCTTGTTTGCTTATTTATGATGCTTCAGGATGCTGTTACGAATTATATGTTAGAGCTGTTACACGAGAGGAAGCACAGAGACAGTAACATTCTGAAAGTTCTTGATAAATAAAATCTTGGCAGTTAGTTTTGTTTTGTTGTATGTTGGTGGCAACAATTTGGACTATTATTAGCCATTTTAGAATAAGCAGAAAAGTATTTGAACCAAAATTGCTTGTGCATTAGAAGTTTTTTCATCATTCCAGATGTATACTGAGTGATGAATTTCGTGGCTTCAGTGTGTGAAACTGTGAGGATTCGTTCAACCAAGTTTGAGGGCGAGCAGTTATTTGAGGGCTTGGTTGTAATGATCTATGAAATGTTTAATGCGATTCTATAAGAAAACTTTGTCTGAAATGTTAAAAGAGTCTGTTAATCATATTAATGGGAATCGTAATATTGTGCTGGCCAATATATTTTGGCAGTATCATTGAAGTTAGGAATTGGCAGAATGGGAAGTTTCAAACAAAGCTAGTATGGGTTGCAAAATGTTATTATTAGATTCACTATCCAAGAGAACATGTATTGTTGTTATTCATTAATAAATCTTCTTTTAAGGCATTGTATGATAGATGATGCTCGTGAGACGTGGAAAAGGTAAGGTCACCACCACTATCCGAAGGGTCTATAAGAAGTTCTCCAAAAACATTTTCCTTTAACTGCAATAATAGGTATTGTTTATTTGGGCATCTATAGGTGTGAAATTTTCATCATACGTATAACACAATCTTTTTCCTTTATGAAGTTACATATTTGTTGGTGTCATTTTCTTAATAATTGTAGATTGAAAAGGTTTGAAAGGTGGGGAGGTTAATAAAGGGGGTAGATTAGTGGATTTAAGGGTTGGACTGATATGTGGGTTGGTGTTTAAGTTTGAGGGTTTGTTATATGTATTCGGTTGATAATGTTTAGGTTTGGAAACATATTTCTCCTTGTATAATTTGGCGAGAGACAATAAAACGGATCAAGGTGGTGATAACTTTAGTGATTACATCATGAAGAATATTCGATTTAAGAACCCCAGCAAAACAATCAAGTAAAGCTTAAGAGGTAATACATTGGACTTGATTTGCAAGAGTTGTGAATTGCATGTAAATGATGGATTGATCTAACTTGGGTGAGGTTAAAGAGATGAGAATGGGGACACTGATAAGCTGATGACCCAAACTCAAGTTCTAAAGCACGTGTAAAGGCAACACAAGAATGGAATAAATCATTGCAGGTCATCATCTAATACCAGGTACCACCTCTTATCCAAATGGATAGCAACAATGATCAATCACTGATCATCAAGTGTGTGATAATAACTGAAAATTTGTTGTCTTAAATATTCATTGAAGAATCTCTGAGCCATTAAAACGTAGAAATCCAGTTTGACATTACACTCTTAAGAAAAGAGGTATTTTGTTTAAGCAATGAATCTTTGTTTAAGATTCCAAGATTTCAAAGTGACTCTATTATTTGTTACGTGATTCCATCACATAATTGATGAAATATATAAATATTTTTTTTAACTTTTTAAAAAGATAAATTTAAGAAAGATTTAATTTATGAGATTAATTTTGATATGTATATTGATGAATGGAGGATTTATTGGATTATGGAAAATAATGGATAAATAACCTAGATTTAATTCCATCCATTTTCTATATTTTTGTTATAATATATTGGATGAATTTGTTTATTAGTTGAAAATATAAAATAATTTATAAATGTATTTTTTTACCATTCTAATTTAATGTTTTGACTAATTTAACTTTTGGAGTATGAGTTCAATAATGCTAAATAAAATTCAATAAGACACAAAATACTATCTAATATTTCGTATTCATCCAAAATTTGGCATGTTTGCCAAGAACATCTTACCAATGTCTAAAGAAAATAAAAAATTATTTGTGTAATTTCAAATAGCCACGAGGAAGAAAGTGGAATTAACATTTGGAATTTCAATCCTAATTATTTATGACCTTGCATATGCTTGATAACACTTTGGATAGAATTGAACATTTAGATATGTGTACATCATATTAAATAACATGAGTAAAAGATCAACAATATACATATGAATTATTTTTAGTTATTATTATGGCTATTATTAATAATCTTCACTCGAATTTTGGGATATATTAAATTAACAAATTAACCATCAACTTGAAGCAAACATTGTGTAAATTATTTGCAAATGTTTTGGTGAAATACTGACGAAATTAATTTAATTATGTAATTTTAATACACTTAAAATATATATTATAGTTAATGATAATTGGGTATGTTGTTAATTTTATTTAAAAATATCACAAATTTATCTTTTTTTTATAATAATTTAAAAAATTATAACTTTATAAAAGTAAATGTTTACAAGGTTAAATATCTATATCACGCACTCTTGTACCTATCCCTTGTTAACGACAAAATCAGGAATATTTTTATGTTATTCAATCAATAGATAATTTGGTATAAAAATAACTCCATTTATTTGATAAAAAAGAAAAAATGTAGTACATAAAATATTTAATAAAATTACATCTTAAAAAGTAATATTCAATACAATTATAGCTTTATAAAAGTAAATGTTGATGAGTCTGAACATAGTACTTTTTATCTACTCTAATTTATGCATTACAACACAAAATCAAGATATTTTTAAGATTTAATATTATTTATTAAAAAATTAGTGATATTCGTATATTTTAACATTATCCCATTAATAAATAATTCAGTGTCACAATAAATTCAATTACTTGGTAAAAATAAAATAAAATCTTGATACACCAAATACCACAATCATATTATTTATGTATTAATTCATATTCTCCTTTTTATTCATATATTACTTATTATACAGAGTATTTTCGCAATTAAACTTTCATCTTTCATACAAACAATTTAGAACTTCAGTTGTTCAGTCTTGTACAACTTAAACAATTTTTTCATAAACAACTTTTAATACATATTTACCAAAAAAAATTCAAAAGAAAATACATTTTCAGTCATTCAATTTTTTTTTTCAAATTTAATCTTAATTCATATACTTTAAAATAGATTTTAATCATTGTTATTTTTTATTTATTAAATATTTTTCTCCCTTACCTTAACATCCTAAGTTCTATAAAGAGAGACAAATTTCACCAATTAAATGATAATCATATAATATTTTTTAATTTATGTGAACTAAATCAAAATTTATTTGAGAATTAAGAAGCTTAAAATACATTGCACCAATCTTTGAAATCCCTAAAGTTGGACAGAAAAAATTACTCAAGTTGCAAAAAGTGAAAGAAAAGAAGTCATGCATAAGGGTACAAACCGTTTGAAAAGTGCGAGAAGTTGAATAAGAAAATTAATTGGTTCATTGTAATTTTAATTCCTACCAACAATACTATTTTTTTAATTGAATTAAAGCTAGTTTCCAATTGATTTAATTGAAAAGAAAAACAACAATAATGAATTAAAATTTCAGTTCAAACAATTTGTGTAACTGTGGTTGGTCAATATTTAGAAATAGCTGATTAAATGCAAAAACAAACACTTATAATCAAATTTTCAAGCTGTAACACAAAATTTGAAAAAAAGAATTAAATATATCTAATAAAAACATAGTAATTAAAATTACCGTTTTAGTTTCTAATGTAAAACACTGTGACATTAATATTTAAAGGTAAAAAATTCAAACGAATACTTACGTTTTAGTTCTTAAAACTAATTATTCATAATAGTTAAAAACGTGTTAGTACTATAAGATATTCAAATTTTGAATTCTGAATTAAATTAGTGAGATATCACATTTTTATAAACTTTTTTAAATTTTAATACTTTTTAAAAAAAATGAAAAGATTTCACATTCTGGAGTATAACCTAATTCTTATCATTATGATGGGAGAATCAAATAATGAATAAATGCTGCATACACCGCTCTGAAACGGACAGAGAAAACTCGACAACTTTCGTAAACATCGCGATATGTTCGAATCTGCGTAGAAAAGTGTCACTACAGAATTTGAGATACTGCGGTCAACGTCATCAATGGTACTATGGTCATTTAATTGCTCCAAATACGTCACCACCAAACTACAATTCACCAAATTAGTCATCATTATGATTTATTAGTGCAACTTTTTTCTTATTTTATTTTATTTTTGTCTCTAGTAAGTTTGAAAATTAGGTGCATCATATGCAGGAGAGGACCAGAGTTTTCTTTCAACTGCTCCTCTGAATTTGTCTGAGTCTGAGCTGTTATATATTTTCAAACAAAAATTTGTGAGTGTGAAAAAGAAAAAGTAAAAGAAGAATCTGGGAGTGTATAGGAAAATAAGAAAAAGAAAAAGTACCCTCTTCCTTCAGTGAGGTTCTGAATTGTTCAAACTTGAGATGGCATCGTTTGCAGGGACTACCCAGAAATGCAAAGCATGTGAGAAGACAGTGTATTTGGTGGATCAGCTCACTGCCGACAACAAGATCTATCACAAATCCTGTTTCAGATGCTACCACTGCAAGGGTACCCTGAAGGTTAGATGGCAAATGTTTTTTTCTTGCTTCCGAACATGTCAAGATCAAACTCAAGTCCATGCTCTAAACCTGAGTTTTTTTCTGTTTGCATGTGTGTGGATGCATTGAGTTTCATTCCCACATGCTTTATTCAGAAAACCTTCATCGTTTTTTGTTGGTTTGGGTATTCCTATTTTTACACTATTCACTAGGTTTCTTTTCTTGGATTAATGATGATTTAATTTGTATGTTATTGCTTCAGTGCATGGTGAGTGCTTCATAAGGAAACTTGATTTGGATTGCCTAGTAGAAAACCTTTTTCTGTTTCTAGCACTTATAACACTGTTTTGTGCATAATTTCATTCGAATTGTTCGAGAAAATGAGTAGTTTAATCATAAAATTGAGGATGGGAGATAGAGGGGAAGGTGAAGATTGAATAGGTGAAAGGCTCTTGATCCTGAGTAGTTGAAGGCTCTTGATTGATCTAAGTGATCTAAGTGGAATCAAGGCTTTATATAGCAGCCATTCGCCTCTTTTCTTCATTTCTTAAACAAAATACATCACATTCTTAGTAAGTCATTTGTCATTCCAAATTTGTCTTTTAACCCTAAAATTTCTTGTTCTAATATGACCATGCGTTTGTACGCTTTTTGGCGTGATCCACTTGGTATCCTGTTATTCTTTCACCAAGGAAAATTGTGAATTTACCTATTCCACCTGCAAAATATGTCATTAATCTGAATGTCATTGAAATTACAGGTAATCATTTCTATAGAAATCAATGTCTATTTGGATGAAAATATGCCATTGTGCAGTAACTTTTTGGTTTTTTTAGAAGCCTTAAGATTGAAATTGTAAAAGATCAAGTTGGTGGATACATCTTTAATTCTCTTTGCTTCATGCATTCCGGCAGTTGAGTAACTATTGTTCCTTTGAGGGTGTTTTATACTGTAAGCCTCATTTTGATCAACTCTTTAAGAAGACTGGCAGCTTGGACAAAAGTTTTGAAGGTGATTTGCTGTTCTTTAGTTGTATCTGATACATAAACACTTCCAATTTCTATTATTCAGATCGTCCTGTTTCTAAGTTTATTTCTTCTTGTTTTCTCTTTAACTTTTATATTTATTGCTTGTAGGTATTCCAAGAACTACTAGACTTGAAAGATCTGCTGATCAGGTTTTTCACATCTTTTTAACTTCAAAATATTTTTCCTCATCTTAGAATTCTTATTTAATCTTCTAAAATTGAGTTGTTTCTTACACAATTCTGTTTAATTCTTATAAGTAATCTCTGCCATTTTCCAGGTCCACACCAATAGCAAGGTTTCAAATTTGTTTGCTGGAACTCAGGAAAAATGTGTTGCTTGCAAGAAAACAGTGTACCCAATTGAAAAGGTACATAACTAAATTTATCAAAATTTTCTTCATATCACAAAACTGATCGACGTAAATTATTATAAACTAAGAGGTCCCGGAATCTCTCAATTCAAGTTCTCTGTGTATACTTTCATCAACTTTAGACCTTTATACATGAGAAGACACAGGACACCTAATTTCTTTGCTCAATGTTATTAGCGTTTAGTTTCCCTCTCCAACATCGTTTTAATTTTTGTTCCTTATTCAAACCTTGATCTAGAATCTATGCAAGAACTTATTTAAACTTAAATTTGGCTCATGCAGAAATGAAAAATAAAACTAAAATTTGCTAAACCTCTGACACAATGTAGAGAGCCAATTTAACAAATGTAAGCTTAGAACCATGGGAAATCTGCGCTAACAATGCTTCAACTGAGCTTATGACCACCGAATGTTTCAATGTTTTTCTGAAGTTAAGACTGGCTTACAGTCAACAAATTAGAAGATGATGTTCTCATTTTATCATTTTTGTGAACTGATCATTCAAGAAAATGAATAGATAACCCACCCAGACTTGTTTCTCTGACACCTTTTTTTTTTTTTTTAATTTGGGAAAAACAAGAGTATGTCCATTTAATTTCTTTATACTTATTGGAAAATTCATGTCTTTTTATTGTTATCGTTAAGAGGGTGAAGTGTTGCGACAGAAAGATGAGGAGGAGACAGAGTGGAAGATTTATTTTTAGAACATTGGTTGTTTACTTAAGGAACAATTTTAGTGTTTTGAATCATATTGTCTTGTATTAAAAAGGGCACCATCCACTTTTCTTTTTCAGGTAGCTGTTGATGGAACATCTTACCATAAGGCTTGTTTCAGGTGCACTCATGGAGGATGTGTAATTAGCCCATCAAATTATGTTGCCCATGAACACCGTCTTTACTGTAGGCACCATCACAATCAGTTGTTCAAGCAGAAAGGTAACTTCAGCCAACTCGACAAGCAAGAAAACGATGAAGGGTTGACTGTGAACACAACAACCGAGTAATAGCAGGCATGCAACTTTCAAATTACAGTGGCAAAACAAGTTCAGTTGGTCACTCTTTTTCAGAAACAGATGCCATTGTTTCAACCACATTTCTCTCCTTTTATTATGTTGTGAAAATTTTGGGGTTAATAATTGAGAAGTAATTAGTAGATATTTCGGCATAATCATAAGACTGACAAATCTGTATTTTGCTTTGAAGGTTTATGAAGTATGTACTTTTCATTACCATGATAAAATCTTGTCTGCTCTGGGAATTTCCTGTTGATTTTGATTATTCACATTAAAAACTTCTACCCTTTGTATCAGCATGATGAATTTCTTCATAATTTTACTTTAGTTGACAACTAAGAATACATTAGAGACAACTCTATTCATGAATTTATCTAGGACTAGTTAAGGTATAACTTATATAGTAAAGAATAGGATAGAGAGCCACACTAGTAATTAATTATTGTTTTGTGCACAGTGATCCATCGAGGTTAGAACCTATGTCTTCATATCCAAACCTAACATTTCACCATTAGTCCAACTCTAGTTCTACTAGTAATTATGCATTTGGACACAAGTGCAAACATTCATTGATAAAATCAGATCAAATAAGGGGAACAGTGTAAATTGATTTAATGCTACGTGGAGTTTTTGAGGTAATTATAGTCCGCAGTATATCTTTTCTCCTAGTTGTGGAAATTGAGGCTAAGACATAGGGTTATAGGTGCCTTTAAGATTTACTTGATTTGTTGATGCAACATGTGGAAAGAATTTCATGATATGCATGGCATGCCAGTTGCTTCGTTACCTACGTGCTTAGCATAGTGAAGCTTGGCAAAAGGATGAAGCGTTCTAGGTCAACTCTTTAGCCTATTGGTTTCTACATTTTTGTGAAATATGAAATGTGCTCTCTTGTAATGATTAGTCTCATTCACTGTTTCCATGCTTTTCAGTCTGAGCTATTATGTCTGCCGAGTTTGCTTTCAACCCAATCTCTTGAGAAAGGCAAAAAGAAATACTGCAAAAAGAGAGAGCTTTTTTTTTCATTTTTTCCCATCATTTATCTTTCCCTTTCATACACTATTCACTAAACATGAAGATGAAGAGAGTGAAACAAAGTATGAGAGACAAATCATACATAAACCCAAATAGTTTATACTCCAACCGAACCTCACTAATTATTATATCATGAATTAAAATAGTTAGGAGAAAATATAAGGCATGTATGGTTAGGTTAAACTGTATTTAATTATGATCTTCATTTTAATGATCAAACATATATATAATCCCATAATGATAAACATGTAAATTGAATGCGAAAGCGTACCTGAATCAGTCATAATGATGATATCCTTTGTAGAGCACTTTTGATTTGATCTTATGGTCTTTCACCTGGAGAGCACCTGTATTTTCCTCTGGATTTTCTCTCTTGATGAGGATAGAAAGAAAAGAACGGGACTGAAACTTACGTTCTGTGTGTGTGCTCCCAGAAGGGGACCATGACCCCTTAAAATAATCAAAATTAGGTTAATTACTTAAGTTTTAGTATTTCCAATTTGGCCCCTCATCAAATTAGAAATTACTCTATGGTCTCTACACAATTTTATTTTCATGACATAGAATGTTTTTAGCCAAAACTTTAATTTAGTCAGATCATTTTATTATTTGGCTTAATAAATAATGGTCCTAATACATTTAAATTATGTATCATATATATACATGACCCAAATTTTGTCAACAATCTCCCACTGGTTACAAATATATATGTCCTTACAACCTTACAAATGGGTTAGACTTTATGAGCTCAAAATTGTCATTATATTCCTTTAACATACTCCAAAAGTCCTGTCCATTAATCATATCAGGATATAGAACCAAAACAGTTTTTCATTGCATCATCGCAACTAAAACCAACAATGATTACTCATTCTAACATAACCAAATGACATGGATTCATCATGAAATGTGTAGCATGAAAAATTACGTGAAGGTGATCTGTACACGTCTATTTCAACTGGTCCAAACTTTAACTTATCGAGATCGATATAATATACTTAATGTACAAAGTGTAATGAATGAACGAAAAAATCACATATCTATAAATAACCAAATATGCCCAAAAATAAATGTATACATATATGAAATTAAACATAGAACATAAAATATATGAAAGTGATTAACTCCCACTAAACCACAAATTCCTCAAACTGTAAAACACCCATGTGAGCAACATGCTCATGAAAAACCTTGGGCGGAAGTCCTTTAGTTAGAGAATTTGCGATCATGGAGTTTGTCCCTAAATGTTTTATGGAAATCTGTCCACTCTATACTCTTTCCTTAACAACTAGGAACTTAATGTCGATGTGCTTTGACTTAGTCAAACTTCTGTTGTTGTTGGAATACAATACAGCTGATTTGTTGTCACAATATAACTTAAGTGGTCTTTCAATGCCTTTCTTAATTTGCAGCCCTGTGACAAAATTTCTCAGCCATATTCCATGATTCAACGTCTCATAGCATGCTACAAATTCTGTTGCCATAGTGGATGAAGCTGTAAGGGTTTGCTTGACACTGCGCCAAGAAACCGCACCACCTGCTAACATGAAAATGTAACCTGAAGTGGATTTCAAACTATATTGACATCCTGCAAAGTCCGAGTCAGAAAACCTAGCAATCTCCAATTGGTTTGACCTCCTGTATGTGAGCATGTAATCTTTTGTTCTCTTTAAATATCTTATGACCCTTTTTGCTGCTTTCCAATGATCCATTTCTGGATTGCTTAAATATCTGCCTAGAACCCCAACTATGTATGCTATGTCTGGACGCGTACATACTTGGGCGTACATCAAACTCCCTACAACTGATGCATAGGGAATCTTTTGCATTTCCTTAATTTCCAAATTCCCCTTTGGGCACTGATTGAGACTAAACTTGTCTCCCTTAGCAACTGGAGTATCCCTGAATTTACATTCATGCATGCCAAACCTTTTAAGAATTTTTTCGATATAGTTCCTTTGTGATAATCCTAAAATACCCCGACATCGATCTCGGTGTATCTGAATTCCTAATACAAAAGACGCATCACCATGATCTTTCATTTCAAAATTCTTTGATAAAAATTTCTTGGTTTCGTGCAATATGCCTATATCATTAGTGACAAGTAGAATGTCATCAACATTCAAGATCAGGAAAATATACTTACTCCCCTTAAACTTGTGATATACACAATCATCAACAATATTCATCTCGAAGCCAAATGAGAGAATTACTTGATGAAATTTATAGTACCATTGACAAGATGCTTGTTTTAGTCCATAAATGGATTTTGTCAGTTTGCAAACCATACTCTTTGAATCTTCCTGCACAAAATTTTCTGGTTGCACCATATAAATCGTCTCATCAATGTTGCCATTAAGAAACGCCGTTTTGACATCCATTTGATGAAGCTCCAAATCATAATGTGCTACAAGAGCCATGATTGTCCTAAAAGAGTCTTTCGATGAAACTGGAGAGAAGGTCTCTTTAAAGTCAATCCCTTCCTTTTGGGTATAGCCCTTAGCTACCAGACGAGCCTTATACCTTTTCACATTACCTTTAGAATCCCGTTTGGTCTTAAATATTCACTTGCAACCAATGGGTCTCATACCTTCTGGTAATGGGACAAGTTCCCAAACCTTGTTGTCTTGCATGGACTTATACTCCTCCTTCATTGCTTCAATCCACTTTTCAGAGTTAGAACCTTACATGGCTTGACGGAAGTTAACTGGGTCATTTTCCATCATACCATTGTTTTCCTCATGTTCTTGAAGAAATACCATGTAATCATCCGAAATAGCACTTCTTCTTTCTCTAGTGGATCTCCGCAAAGTTATTGGCTCATGATGCACAGGTTCTTGAGGATCTTGAGTTTGTTCTTCATGAACAACCAAATCATCTTGAGTAAGGGGTTCATTAACAATGCCTTGTGAAGGTTCCGAACTTACTTTATCATAAGTAATTGTTTGAATCGGTTCTGGAATTGTTACCGATTCTTCCTTCAAGACAAATTTCCTGATTTTATTCTCCCTCCAAACTCAATATCCTCAAAGAACGTAGCAGTTCTCGTATCAAAAAATTATCGTTAATGTGGGATCATAAAATTTATATTCCCTGGATCTTTCAGCATAACCAATAAAATAACTACTTACTGTTCGGGAATCCAATTTCTTTTCATTTGGCTTATAAGGCCTTGCCTCAGCTGGACATCCTCACACATGGAAATGCTTCAGACTAGGTTGTCGCCTAGTGCAAAGCTCATAAGGCGTTTTGGTAGCTGCTTTAGTTGGTACTCTGTTTAGAATATAAATTGCCGTCTTTAGCACCTCTCCCCAGAGTGACTCCGGTAAGGTGGAATGACAAATCATACTCCTGCCCATATCTTTAAGAGTCCGGTTTCGTCTTTCAGCTACACCATTCATACTAGGTGATCCCGACATGGTATACTGTGGGACAATTCCACACTCCTCTAGGTACCTGGCAAAAGGTCCTAGACGTTGTTCACCTGACCCATCATATCTGCCATAGTACTCACCACCACGATCAGACCTGACAGACTTAATTCTTTTGTTGAGTTGATTTTCAACTTCAACTTTAAATGTTTTGAATACGTCCAGAGATTGTGACTTTTCATGTATAAGGAATAAGTATGCATATCGTGAGTAATCGTCTATGAATGATATAAAGTATTGTTGACCATTCCACGAAGGTGTAGGAAATGACCCACAAATGTCCGTATGTATCAATTCTAAGACGTTTGTAGCTCTATATGCACATACTCTCTTCGCTTTGGTCTGTTTGCCCTTAATGCATTCAACACAAACATCAAAGTTTGTGAAGTCAATGGACTCTAAGATTCCAGTTGACACAAGTCGTTCAATTCTATTTTTAGAGATGTGACCTAATCGCCTGTGCCATAATACTCCTAAGTGAGTATCATTAATTTTACGTTTAGTACCCCGTGATTCTGTATTAAG